CTATCATACCAAATGATGATTGGTTGTGGCATATGAGTTTTGGACACTTTCATTTTTTTTGGATTAAATTATTTGTCAAAGAAAGAATATGTTTCTAGATTATACGTTGTAAATTTTCCTAATATTGTATGTGAGACTTGTCAATTGGAAACGAAGCACAAATAATCATTTCCAACAGGAAAGTCATGGAGAGCAAGAAAGCCACTAGAAATTGTTCACTTAGACTTGTGCACGATTGAAATCCCAACATATGGTGGTAGTAAGTATTTTATTACCTTTATTGATTATTTCAGCAAAAAGACATGGGTGTATTTCTTAAAGCGAAAATCATAAGCTTGTGATGTCTTTTAAGTTATTTAAAGTGTTTGTGGAGAAACAAAGTGGCTACAAGATTAAAGCATTAAGAACAAATAGAGGACAAGAATACCTTGTTTGTGCAAATTTCTTTGAGCAACATGGAATCCATCATCAAATAACAACCAGATACACTCTCCAACATAATGGAGTTGTAGAAATGAAGAATAGGACAATCATGGACATGGTGAGATACGTGCTAAAGGCTTATCGATTGCTTGGAGAATTTTGGGCTGAAGTTGTTGCTATTGTTGTTTATATCTTGAACAAATGTCCAATAAAAGAGTGTTCTTAACAAAACACCAAAAGAAGCCTGGAGTAGAAGAACACCCTCTATTAAGCATTTTAAAGCTTTTGGGTGTATAGCATATGCCCATGTTTCTGATCAACTCAAGAAGAAGTTTGATGATACAGGAGAAAAATATGTGTTCATTAGCTACTACACAAATTCAAAGGCATACAAACTCTACAATCCAGAGACATAGAAGGTGATCAATAGTTGAGATGTGGTTTGATGAAGAAGGAAGGTGGGATTGGTCTCCAAAAACTCAAAAGCAGCCAATGGTGATTTCAGATAGCTATATCAAGCAGAATGGACATGTAGACCTAACACCTGATAAGCCAGAAGCATCAAGTAGACCATAAAGGCAATAGAGACCACCAACTAGATTAGAAGATTATGTTATGGGTAATGATAATGACCCATCTAATAAAGAAATTATCAACTTTGCTTTTACTTTTAGATTGTGAACCAATGACTTTTGAGGAAGCTGCCAAAGATAAGAATTGGAGAAAATTTATGGATGTTGAGATTCATGCAATGGAGAAGAATGAAACATGGGAGCTAACAAATTTGCCAGTAGATAAAAGGCCAATTGGAGTAAAGTGGGTATACAAAACTAAGCACAAACCTAGTGGAGAAATTGATCGCTTCAAAGCGAGGTTAATGGCAAAAGGATACAAGCAAAAGTCAGGTATAGATTATTTTGAGGTATTTGCTCCTGTTGCGAGATTAGATACAATTCGTATGATTATATCTACCTTGACTCAAAATAATTTGAAAATTCATCAAATAGATGTTAAGTTTTCTTTTCTAAATAGAACTTTGGAAGAAAAAGTGTATGTTGAACAACCTGCATGATATGAGATTGAAGGCAAAGAAGACAAGGTCTACAAGCTGAAGAAAGCATTGTATGGCTTAAAGCAAGCACCCAAGGTGTGGCACAAGAAGATTTATTCTTACTTTGTGCAACATGGATTTCAGAGATGCCCATTTGAACAAACTTTATATATTAAAATTGTTGATCCAAATGATATACTTATTGTGTGCTTTTATGTTGATGATCAAATCTTTATTGGCAACAATTCGAAGATGATTGCAGAATTCAGGGAGGTTGTGATTAAATGTTTTGAGATGACAAATTTAGGCTTAATGTCCTATTTTCTCGGCATTGAAGTCAATCAACAGAATGATGAGATTTTCATCTCCCAGAATAAGTAAGCAACAATTATTTTGAAGAAACTCAAGATGGAGGATCCAAAGCCAATCTCTACGCTAGTTGAAGAAAAGTTAAAGCTGACAAAAGATAATGATGAAAGAAGAGTTAATTCAACATACTATAAGAGCTTGATTGGAAGTCTCAGATACTTAACTACCACTAGAACAGACATTATGTTTGGAGTTGGATTGCTTAGCAGATTCATGGAAGAGCCACGTGTTTTTCATTTGCAACAAACAAAGAGAATTCTCAAACATATCAAAGGTACTATGACCGAAGGAATTTTTTATGCTAATAATAATGATGTAAAGCTTGTTGGATATATAGATAGTGATTGGGCAAGAGATATTGAGATAAGAAAAAGTACATCAGGATACACATTTCATCTAGGAACAAGTGCAGTTTCATGATCTTTGAAGAGAAAACCAACAATTGCACTCTCAACAACTGAGACAAAATATATAGTTGTAACAAGTTGTGCTACACAAGTTGTATGGATAAGAAGAATGCTTGAACCGATGCAACAGATCCAAGATACTACCACGCTGATATTCTATGATAACAAATCTATAATTGCACTTTCCAAAAATCTAGTTTTTCATGGATGATCCAAGCATATAGACATTCGATTTCACATGATCTGAGAATTGGTCACAGAAAAAGAAGTAGTGATTAAATATTGTCCAACTAAAGAACAAGTCATAGATATTTTTACAAAACCTTTAAAGATTGAGTTGTTTACAAATTAAAAATATTTCTCAGAATGACAAAGTTTGCAAGCCTAATTTAAGGGAAACAATGTCAAAAATAATTAAATTAAGAAACCGCCCATGTAATTGAGAGCCACATGTTATTATGCTCTGATCACAATCGTTCAACATTGAGGAAGTACCAGACATTTTTGATTGACTAAAATGAAGGTAACACCATTAATATGGGTAGTCGTATTTTTCTTTGCACAAAAAATTATAGGCACCGTAATATTAGTTGTACCACTGTTCTAGTTTTCTTAACTTGTGGTTTTGCTATTTTATAATGATTTTACTGTAACAATCTTTACCTATAATAAGGTTGCTAAGTGTCAAGTGAATATATCAATTGAAATGAAAATACTGTGTTAAAAAGTCCCCTCCCCTCTCTCTCGTAATCTTTTTAGTTAAAAGTTCTTATTTGATATAAAAAAAGAAATGATGTCACATAAATACCGCACCACCACCACATTTTCAAAATTTTTGTTTTCATTAAACTTTGGCATTTTTTGAAAATATTTTAAAATAATACATTTTTTTAAATTAAAATAAACATATTTTCAATATCTTCTTAATTTTCAATGGAAATGAAAATAGAAAATGAAAAAATTAAATAAAAGTTTTTTCATGGTCAATATTATAAGTTTGACTATACCTTTAAGTTCTAACCTTGTACCGGTCAATGTTTCCAACACATGACACGTTTTTGGAACATTCATGTGATCACTCTTTGTGATAAAGGCTTTATACTTTTGTGACAGTTACTTAGAATAAGAAAGATAATTAGATAGAAATGTTGTGAGCAAGACCTAAATCGTCTCCTTATATAAGTAGGATCATCAAGAACATGTGAATAATTAACAGGGCAATTACCTTCAACATGTGTGTCTTTTGCCAAATTTAGCAATGGCTGTGTCTTCCAACAAAATTTGGCACCGATTCTAGTGATTGGATTTGTAGAGCAATATGTGGTCTCTTAAAGTAGGCTCAAAGTTCAAATTTTTTTTTTTTTTAGGTTCTTCGATTATAAGCACAATATGCTTAGGTTCTAGAAAAAGTGGCTCCTCTAAAGAAACAAAAATTATGATAGGAGAGAACATAGAAAGGTTCAAATGTGTTGCTTCACTTGAATTCTGGCCCTAAAGTGAGGCATTTGAAAAAAATGATTGATGCTCAAGGAATTTGGTGTCATAGATGAGCAATAATACTTGTATCCCTTTATATAAGGACCTTCAAATTCGAAGTCTCAACGAATAAGTGACATTTTATTTATGTCACTTTAACATGTTTTATTTTCACTTAAATACTTTTTATGAAATTTTCTAAAATATCACTGATCTTTGTATTGCTAAGTCAAGATGAGTTATTGATGCATGTTGTTAGTTTACACTTAAATAACTCCTGAATCTTTCTTATTTAGATGTACTCAAGATATACACATTTAGGGTTTAGGGTTTAGATCATTTCCCTTTTATCAAAGAACTAATTGATACCATTCATGAAAATTGTCCTAATAAGTTTATGCTGAGTTATTTGAAAGGACGGGTTGAAGTCGGCTAGATATTAGGTGTTATGTTTTGCAGCACCCAAGGATTTGAAGGAAAAATTTCAATGTTATCATCAGACATCATGGTTTTTCTTGTTTTTAGCCAAGGTGACGTTAGATTTTATTTTTTTGATTACTAGGGAATAACCTAGGCTCGAGATTCCATACAAACAAAAATTTTATATAGAATTTGGATGAAGACTTTTAAAAAGAAAATTATGGCCTAATAAATATAATTTAATAAAAATCATTCGACACTACTTTCTTGTTTGTAGATCTTTAATTTACCTTTTAAGTGAGATATTCTAATTTCCACAGTGAAATTTGGATCAAAATTTTTGCAAGGAAAAATTATGGTATTAATATGGTAGACCATTAATGTAGAACCTAAACTTGTATAAAAATAAAAAGACTCAAGTTCATATTCGATTAAAAATAAACAATACAACAACATTTTCAATTGATTACACTCTACTATTTTACAAATTAAAAATACACTCACAAACATGCTATTTTATGAAATAAAAAATAGATCGAAACTAAATATTAGAATAAAATAATCTTTAAATTAGACAATTAATTTTTCTAAATAAAAATAGTTCTCATTTTTTATAATTTTATTTACTTTATTTTTAAACTTTTTATATTTTAAAATAAACGTTTTTATTTCTTATAATTTTTCAAATTTTCTTCCTAGAAAATAAAAATGGCTCAAAAGTGCTTGAAACAAAATCATTGAAATCTCGATACATAAAATACAATCAATATCATCACAGCCGCGAATTCTCTCAACTCGAAGAAACAAACTAAAACAAAGCTTAAAACAAATTGATCAGCAATTAAGAATGGCATTCAGAATGAGTAGGAGGATAGTATTCATCATATGAATAATCATATGAAAACATTAAAAAAAACATCATCACCATGCCGAGATGAAATTTAAAACAGAAAATAAAATCGGACAAAAGATATTAAAAAAGCGTAAAGGAAAGAAAGAGTGGAATCCTCTCAGACAAATGCCTCGATTTGTCGTCAGAATTGTTAAGAATGGAAAATCGGACTCGTCATCATTATATGATCATCACCGAGAAAACCACACCTTCGTATAAGTTTTACGAAATCGATTCATTCAAAATTAAAAATATAAATCAAATCAAATAAAATGCACGTATACGAGACAAAAAAAAATGAAAAAGACTTGAAGATAGAGATTAGAGAGATGATACGATGGCAACGCTACTGCGCCGTGAAATGAGAAAGAGAGACGCCCGTTTCGCTTTTATAGGCGACTGGGATCTGAGGGAGGACTAAGGGTTTGGCAATTGGCACAGTTATTATAAGGGTTTAATGGGTCCATGGATTGGGCCCTGTAGTTTCAATGGACCTAACAAACGGTTGAACTCATTGGGCCTCCGAAGTTATCTGTTACACAAAACTTTGGGCTTTGACTTAGGGGATTAGAAAATTGTGATTATTGAGAAAAAAAAAGTATAACAATTTGTTTTCCTTTTAAGTTTTTTGTTGAAGGAAGAAAGTCCAAAAACTACTTGATTTTTGGAATCTACTTTCTTATTTACTAGAGGGGCCGATGTACTTCTTGTCTCTAATAATTATACACAGATAAATATTAAAAATTATAGAAGATATAATAATTTTCTTTTACATTCAAGAGTATAAAAGTCTACTAAAAAGTAGAGACCAAAAGAGTGATTACTAAAATGTATTCCCTTTATAATAGGTATAGATTAAGTCATGTAATTTCTATTATATTGAATATCTATTTTATTTTTTATTTATTATATATATATATATATATATATATATATATATTAGTGTAAAATGAATGAGTTTTGAATTCAATCCTATAAAAAAATATTTATTTATTTCTCATTCTTGTAAAATTTATAAATATTATTTTTAGTCTTGTGAAATGAATAAATTTTGGTTTTAAACTTTGTAAAATATTTTTGTTTAAATTACCTTTTTAAAATTTAAAGTTACTATTTTTTTACCTAACCATTATTCTAAGATAAATAAAAATAATTATTTTAAGAATATAAACGAATTTTTAGATTGTCTAACAATTTTCATGATATTGCTAACTATCCTAAATAATACTTAGAATTGTCACTTAATCTTTTAATAAATAAAATATAATAAAATATAATAAAAAATGATTAAGTAAAAGATAAGGACTAAAAATAATAATTTTAATTTTAGAGAAATAAAAAAAATCCAGGGACTAAAATTAAAACTAATCAATTTTGCATGGACTAAAAATATATTTGTCTTTATTTATAATTTTTATTGATTTTCAAACACTATTGGTTAAATTTAATTATATTTTAATTGATTCAAATAAAATTGAATTTAGATTCTTTAAATAAGATTTTGAGTTCAGGTGAGTCATTTGACTAGAAAAAAGCATTATTAAAAGAGATACCCAATAAAAATAATTATTTAAGTTTTTCTGTAAAATTTAATTATCGATCACACCTGACGGGCGATATAGTGACTGAAAAATTAAATTATATTTACTTACTTCTATTGATTATATAAATGTGTATGCAATAGAATATGGTGCTAGAAATTAGGTGCAAAATTATATTACCCTGATTCCAGCAAGCTATAACCCATCATGTGAAACCAAAACAAAGAAGCACCATGCCGACGTACGTTAAATGGAACCATGTTGCCAAATTCAAATTACAGAAACGTACGTTCAAAAATGGAAAACCAGACACGCACGCACAGTATTGAGTAGAAATTTTGCATCAGTTTTGTTCGTCGTTAAAATTTCAGGATTGCAATTATGCTGAACAATATTTCAGGATAATTTACTATAAACTCTGCATTTGTGGGTAAAAAAAAGTCAACGGAGTTCTTTTGTCTATGCTGCTATCAAACTCCACCATCTACATATTTATTTTCCTAACAGATTACACATCGATCATAACCAACTTCTATACTATAATGCTTATACTCTTTTTTTTTATGTAAAAAATGGTTCATAATTAATGGATAATGAATGCACAAATAGGGTACACTATGAGGAGGAGGATGCCAAGAGTATTTGAAATTCCATGTTTCTGTGTGAAAGAGTTTCTGAATCCACCAGAAGCCCTGATGTGTTCTTGTAGTAGGTAACAACCAATCAAAAGATCAACCGCTAATCCAATCCAATTATTCCTCAATTTCAGAGCAAAGATGTTTGGGGCCACAATCAAAATTAGGATCATTGATCCAGGTATTTCCAGCCAATCTGCACAGGTCCATTCCAAATTAACCAATTAAAAAGTATTTATTGAAACAAACAACTTTTCTCAACAATATAGATCATTCAGCTAATGATGTATAAGGGTGTGTAGTTCAAAAAGTGACAGGTTCTGTTGAATGAGATAGACTTAACCGCAACATGCAGATATATTACCCTCCTTTAAAGTATAGTTAATTTTTAAGCATTGCAACTTGAAGCATACCAGGAAAATGTCTAGGGAAGAAAAGCCTCAACACCACTGTGACGAAGGCAATCCATTTTCCAACTTCCCCTCTGAACAATACAAATGAATTTTCAGTCAACCAATCGATTTATAATTGAAAATCACATGAAAAGGGGTTAGAAACCTTGCATTAACTAATGATATATGATTAAGATAATTATAAAAAAGAAATAGCTAGCTTTTGAAATTTAATTATATATAGGTTTAATAACCCAAATTTTACAAAAGAAAAAAAAAAGAGGAGAAATTAATTACTAAATTGGATAAAAAGAAAGAGAAGACGAGAAGACAAGTACCTGAAAAATTGGAATAGCGACTCCGGAAAACTGAAGAATATGTAAGGCACTAATAACGCTGTCAGCATATTTGTCCTCCAGTTTGTGCTGTCTAGTATAAGTAAATAACTGAAACAAATATTTTCCAAGCCAATTTAATTAATAAGTTTTTTCTTCCTTAAACTATTAATAGAGCAATAACTTGACAATTTTATTTGTTCGGATCTCCTAGTTCTATATATTTATAATATAAACACTGAGTTACAAACAATTACATGTAACTGTAAAACTAATTTCATACGTTATCAAATTAGTGTGTTTATTTATGTATCAATCATTTTTTCATACAACTTTTAGTTGCTATGACCATAATTATTGAAAAATTCTACAATCTATTATATTTTTTTTCTTCTAAAAGTTCTAAACAATTCATTTTCACTCATTATCAATGTGTATAAGTAATTCTACATTTTATTATATATCTATCCTAATTCATCATTTCTCATTGTCGATTTAAACCTAAAATTCTCCTTTTCATGACTACTCAAAATTTTTATCTCCATTTGATGTTATAATTTTTGCTATAGAAATCTAAGGTAATATTTAAAATTCTTTCTCTTATTTTACTCTTTATATTTTTTCATTTTCTCATGTTAACTTTTCTCTAATTTAAATGTTCTAAATTTTAATTTTCATCTTATGTTACAATGCTCATTAGAATTGAAGGTGATATTCACAATTTGAGGTTTAACAAGTGACCTATGAGTTCTTTTTCACTCTTCATAAAATTTTATTTCTAAATGATATCTTAAAGACCTTTTGTAAAAGAAAAAAAATTCTTGTATGTTTCTTCGATCTTCGCTTATGTTTCTTTAGGTTTTGTGAAACTATGTTTCTAAATAATTTAAGCTTTGTGGTAGTTTATATTCTTTAGAGACTATTGAAGTATTGTGACGACTAACATTGTAAGTTTCATAAAAAATAGAAGATGATATTCATAATTCTTTATCTTATTTTGTTGTTTGTAAGTTTATTTATACCTGACTCAGAATCTAAAAACATTTTGTTGTTCTCTCCGATGAATATTCTAAATTTTAATTTTCTTCTTATGTTCAATTCTCACAAGAAAAAAATTGAAGGTGATATTCACAATCCTATCTTATTTTGCTCCATAGAAGTTTTTTTTATCCATGATTTGGAAAAAAAATTGTAAAAAAAAAATATATTATTCTATGTTACATTTTTTTTTGTTTTCCACATTTTTTTTAGGTTTTGTGAAGCTATATTTCTAAAAATTTAGGCTTTGTATGATTTTAGATGGTTTAAGGACAATAAGAGAATGGTGTTCAATAAGGAAAATTTGTTTTGCTTATAAAAAAGAATGGAAAACTAGAACAAGATATATATGAAATGTTGAAGTCATCAATTTCGGAATACATCTAAACAAGATATTCATTTTTATTATCCTATGATAATTGTATGAGTGGTATGATGCATCTTTGTATTTTTTTTAATCATCATGCATTTTTTATATAAAATATTCTTTAAAAATAGAGGTGTAAGCGGGTACGAATAATCCGCAAACCCAAACTGACCCAAACCAACCCAATAAATTCGAATAAGATTTTTTTAATGTTCGGGTCAAATTCAACCTAACTCGGCCAAAACCTGGCACTGTACAAGTCGGATAACGGGTTTTGTATTTTTAACTCGTTACCCGACCCAACCCGATTATATATAATAATAATAATAATAATAATAATAATAATGGTTGAATGATCAAATATTTTTTAAAAATAGAGGTGTAAGCGGGTACGAATAACCCGCAAACCCAAACTGACCCAAACCAACCCAATGATTTCAAATCAAATTTTTTTAATGTTCGGGTCAAATTCAACCTAACTCGACCAAAACCCAACATTGTACAGGTCAGATAACAGGTTTTGTATTTTCAACTCGTTACCCGACCCAACCCGATTATATATAATAATAATAATAATAATAATAATAATAATAGTAATAATAATAATAATAATAATAATAATAATGGTTGAATGATCAAATATTTTTTAAAAATAGAGGTGTAAGCGGGTACGAATAACCCGCAAACCCAAACTGACCCAAACCAACCCAATGATTTCAAATCAAATTTTTTTAATGTTCGGGTCAAATTCAACCTAACTCGACCAAAACCCAACATTGTACAGGTCAGATAACAGGTTTTGTATTTTCAACTCGTTACCCGACCCAACCCGATTATATAATAATAATAATAATAATAATAATATTGATAATAATGGTTGAATGATCATTTGTTTAGGATAATTAATACTCACTATCACTCTTACTTAATTAATAACGAGTTTTATATTTTAGATTAGTAGTATTGTAACAATATAATATATTTTTTTAAAATTTTATTTTGTATTAATTAATGTTGATTATTTTAGTTGATAATGATGTAACAAATTAATAAATTTATTTTAAAATTTAATTTGTATCATTGTTTACTTTATAGGTTGATAACATTAATTATATTTGCAACAATATCAAATTATCTACATCTATTTTGACATATTTAACTTCTTACAAAAAGAAATAAATTTAATTATGTTAACTTGATTAACCCAACCAAATCCAATTAATATATTCGTGATTGAGTTGGATTGTATTGAGTTTTAAAAAAGAATTGCACAAACTAGACCCAACCCGGCCAACCCGTTAAATTTTGATTGATTCATTCAAAATTAACCTAACCCAACCTGCTTCCACCCCATTTAAAAACATACATATGTCAAAAACAAAATAATATACAATCAAAATATCTCATAATGCACCTTCGATTTAAACCTCAAATTGGTCACATTATTTCTTTTTAATTTGCATATCATAATTAACTAGTAGATTCTGTTTGTATCAAAATCAATATTCATTTTTATTCTACATTGTTAATTTTGTTATATTAATATCAAACTCCCTATATTTGTTTATATGACTTCTCTTTACAATTTGTAAGGGTGATATCATGTACCCTATTTTTTTTCTTTAAAAAATTATCATGTATTTTATTATAAAATATTTTTTAAAACTATATAATTATGTCGAAAACAAAACAACATACAATCAAAATATTTCTAAATTCACATTCAATTTGTGCTTCAAATTTAAAATATTATTTCTTTTTAGTTTAACTTACATATGATAATTAATTATCACATTCTATTTATATCAAAATCAATATTAAATTATTTAGTAAATCAATTTTCAGCCATGTAGTTAAAGAAACAAATTGAGTTAATTTTATTTTACAAATTAAGCATAATATATATTTAATAATTTTTATTAAGTTAATTTTTTAATAACTGATATATTGATCAAATTAAGTTTCTTAATAGCAAATCAATTATAAATATACCACTCCTAATTACATACAATTGAAAATTAATTATGAATAATAAATAATTAAAACAACATTAAGACAAATTTTTCATATAATTATTACGTTTCATTATGACATAATTATCTAAATTAATTGATATTAATCAAATATTTATTACAAATTTTAATTTCAAAATAATTATTAAATTTTAAAGTATCAGTTACTCGATACAAATTTTAATTCAATTATTATGATTCATTATGACTTAATTGTCAAAATTATTATTTTTAATTAATTATTTATTACAAACTTTAATTTTGTTATAATCTACCTTAATGTATGATACATATATACATATAGTTAAATTAACTTAAATTAGTCACTATTTTAAAATAAATTTCAATTTAATAATACAACACCTCAATCATTGGAATGAAGCAACTATTTATTTTAACAGTACATTATTATTATCATACTAGTACCAAAATTAGTATTAACTCTCATTAGACAAATAAACACATGCTAAAAAAAAAAGTTACAAATCAAGGATAGAACTTTCTGACTTTCTGATTCTAATCAAACATAGAACTTAGTAATATTTATTGAATTAATTTTTCTAATAATTGTCATATCAATCAAATTAAATCTTTTAATTACAAATTAATTATTAATATATAACTGCTAATTTTGAAAATTTAAATTATTAGTTAATTATAACAAATTATTGCAACATTATATGTAAATTAAATTTTTTTAAATATTAATTACTCAATTCAAATTCTAATATAATTATTATGTTTTATTGTAAAAACAAACGATATTTATAAATCAATCAAATATTGTAGCAGTAATTTTTTCTATATAACTACTTTTACCAAAATCAATGAATTGTTGATTAGCTTTAATTTACAATATTTTGAGATTAGTTCAATTTGATCAAAAATCTGTTAAAAGGTTGATTATAGAATTGTTTTAACATGTAAAAAATTATTAAAACAAAATAACTTACACATTTAAAAAAAAACTTTAGGGTTATGTTAATAAAAGCTTTATAAAACTTAAAAGAAAGTTTTGTCACTAAATTTGTTATAATTGAATTCATTTATTATATAATAAAGCAATATCATCCTAATATTTAAATATAATAATTATTATATTTTTCATCTTTTAATTTAGACATTATTAACTTATTTCATACACTCATATATGAAGTAGATGTAATTATATCATATTTATTTTAGATATAAATCTTATACTCTTTTATTTCAATGCATATTTTATAATTATTTAATTTTATATAATATTTTTGAAATACTTTTAATATTTTAAAATTATATCTAATACATTTATATATGAATCCGGTCAATATCTAGTTATCAAATAATGATGCAAGATGCATGCATTATTTTATTTTGGTGTGGCAAGAGATGTCATTTTCTGTGCCCATTGTTAGTAAAGGGACTAAATTTTTATTTTACCACGATCGAGCTTGTTTGCATGCAATTTGAAAATATTTTTACCGAAAATAAAAAAAGAGTATGAGAAGTTCTTAAGTCTGTTTATACTTGTATCCAAACATACTATAAAACTATTTCATTGTTATTCTTTTCAAACTAAAATATCTTCCAACAAATAATCAAAGATTACTTTCTTTATAGACATAGAGAATTGAAGTAGGTTTGTGTCTCTTATTCTTTGTTAGGAATGATGAAATAATTAAATACTTGTCAACATATTGAAAGAAGGAAACGTAATGAAAACTCACATGGCGGCAAAGGAAGCGAGCCATTTGAAGAAAGAAATGCCAACGCCTTTGCTTCCGAGGATTGTGGCATCGTGGAGGAGCTTCTTGGCCGCAAGCTTAAGCTCATTTACGTCGGAATCGATTAAACTCGAAACAACCCTTTCCCTTTTCATAGCCACATACTGTTGCAATAATATTCTGCCCATGCTGCTTCGGATCTGAATTCTGAACTCACTCACAATGTTTGTATTTTTAATAGGAGTAGGAAATGAGAAAGATAAAGGTACTTAGGGGAGTTATAAAGTGTGGAATCTTAGTAATTATGTGAGGTCCTAATTAAAAGTTTCAACGAATGGTCAGGGAATGTAGAACGATGCGAACTTTCGGATCCTCAATTCCTTTATTTTCCACCTGTTGTTTCCTTGGTTTTGACTGTGATTTATGGCTTTACCATGTCATCATGTTAAGGGTTTGTTTCACTTCATTTGCAACCATGCACCATAATGCCACTTTGTTTGACACGTTACAATAACAACAGTTTATTGTCGATACTCTTTTAAGAATCTAAAAAAATAATATTAACCACAACTAGTATATATATTACTTCTGGGTTAAAAGTATAAATATTGATTGATAACAATCAGTGGAAAAATTTATATTTTTTATGGAAAAAAAAATTCATAAGAAAAGTTATATTACCGACACATACAAATCTGTCGAAAAATTTAATTTTTGATGGATTTTGTCAACGGATAATTTTCGACGGATACAAATTTATTGAAAAATTTATATTTCCAACTGATATATCTATCGGTAATTTCTGACAGATTTATCCATCAATAATTTTTTACGGATAAATCTGTTGGTAATTTTCGACAAATATAAATCTGTCGAAAAATTTATATTTTCGATGAAAAAGAATTTATAGGAAAAATTATATTACTGATGGACTATTTCTGACAAATTTATATTTATAAAAAATGTAAGAAAATTTTACGAAAATTGATATTAAAAAATATTAATAAAATTTTAAATATTTATATATAGAGAGAGAGAGAAGGAGAAATCAAATGACTCACAAAGTAACTCTTGGTAAAGTTACTTCGTATAATAACTCATGGTGTATGCTGAATTTCATTGATCCAACTGTTAAACTAAAATTTATTAACATTTAATATAATTAATATAGAAAAAATTGATTAGCTTTGGAATAAATTATTTGCTAACAATATAGTTGAAAAATTAATTATTTTAAATTATTTAACTAGAATTTAATTTATTGACAATTTACCATATGATTTTGATATTTTTGTATAACTAATATCTGGATTTAAATTTGATATGAAAATATTATGATATAATTAAATAAGATTTTAAATTATTATTTTATTAATGATTGATAATTAAAAAATAAAACAAGGATAAATACATTTTTTGAATTTTATGTCTTAGATTTAAGATAAATAAATACATTAAGTTAATTAATAATTTATTTAAAATGTTAAAAATTTAATTTATAAGTTTGTAATAAATAAATATTTATAATTTTATAAATTATATTATCATTATAAATTATAAATTATTTAAAATTTTAAATTTATAATAAATAATTTAAATTGTATCATAATATTAATTTTAAATAGAAATAAGTATATTGTTAATTATAAAAGTAAGTATATATACAAATAAAGATTAATTGGTAATATAATTATTATATATATTATTATACTTTTATAATAGTCTGGACACACTGGAATGAGAGAGATCCAGAGATAATATAAGTATGAGAATTTATAGTTGAAGATGACTTAAATGAAATAATTTGTATTACATATACTAACAACATGTATTTATTTTTCGGTAGCTTATCTCATCAAAGACTAGTACAAAATGGGTAATTTATGTCGGTTATTTTAAGTTTTTTACGTCAGAAAAAGGTTCGACGTTAATGAGGGAGACGTAAATTTATGTCGGTTGTGATAGCCGACGTAAATTTATGTCAGACATTCCCAAGAGCCGACGTAAAAAAGTTGTAAACAAAAAAAATAAAAAATAACAAGTGCAAGCAGAACAGTTTCAATGAAGGCTTCAACCATCCAATGAAGGCTTCAACCTTTTCTTGTTCACCACCCAACTTCTTTCAATAGAAGAATCCTTCAATTCAATTGCTTCAAACTTTTCTTGTTTACTAAGGAGAATTCTCAACCTATAATTAAGCACGAAAATTGGTTGGCCAAGCCTAAGCTTCCGTTTGAGGATTTTCCTAGCATGATATTTTCTTTTTTTCGTAACTAATTTAGGTACAAATTTATTTTCAAGCCTGACTTGTGGTTTCTTTGTTTTCTTCAAAGGGTTTAAGATGCGAATCTTATCAAGTGTGTCTATTTTGAGGCATTCTCCTCTTCTATCTCAACTTGGTTGTTACTTATACTCAAACACACTAAAGGTCACTTCTTCATCTTGTGCCCTCACTTTCAGTTTGCCCCCATCCACATCTATGACTACCTTGGTTGTTTTCATGAACAGTTTTCCTAAGATTCGAGGAATTTCCACATCTTCAACAATGTCCATCACCATAAAATCAATAGGAAATATGAATTTATCTACCTTGACCAAAACATCCTCAACCATACCATGTGGAAGTTTAATAGATCTATTAGCTAATTTTAAGGTCATTCTAGTAGGCCTAACATCCAAATCTCCTATTCTTTTAAGCATTGACAATGGCATAAGATTGACACTAGCACCAAGATCTATCAAGGCTTTATCAATAGAGAGACTTCAAATAGTAATAGGTATAGTGGAACTACCTAGATCTTTTGACTTTGGCAGAAGTGGCTTTTGGATAATAACAATACACTTGACATCTAATCTCCTTATCAATAAACCTTTTCTTTTTAGTTAAAATCTCCTTCATAAGTCTTGCATAAGTTGACATTTCCTCTAATGCTTCTACAAATGAATATTGATCTGTAACCTCTAAAAGATGTCTAGAAACCGAGCAAATAAATTGTCTTTCATTGTCTAGTTTCAAGTGGAAACCATGTGCGGCTAGAGGATTGTTTCATTTTGGCTAGATGATGAGCATCAAATGTTTTTATTAGAATTTACAGGTGCATGCACTGAGGATAAAGTGGTATTTGGCGTGTTCCAATAATAATGGCGGTGGGAGCACCTACAAAGATACCCTGACAATCAAGTTAAATAGCAGTCTAAGGTAAGTATCAAATTAGGGTTAGAATGATACCTGGTCCCCCATAGGTGGTTAATCCCTTTTCTTGATTTTTAGAAATAATATTGTATGATATCTTGGAGATATATTCCCATGATTGTGTGGGGGATATTTGATGAATAGAGATATTGTTCCTGATATATGTTCCAAAATTTTCGAGGATATGAAGTTAGAATTATCCTTTGATCATTGGAGATATAATTGCCAAGTTATCTTTTGAATTAGTATGGACAAGCTCATGAAGCTACTCAATTTGTTCAAACCCACTACAAGCTCAACTCGACTTGTTCGAGTTGGATGGTACAAAAATGATATTTTTCAAGTTTAAGAGTTAAAAGAAAATTTACTCCAAATTTTTTAAAAAAAAATTTAAACCTTAATTTATAAGAAAAAAGATTATCTTTTTAAGGAGAAAAAGGTATGAAAACCGATCAGAGTGATCGGGACAAAGAAATAGGATGTCTTATAAGAGAGAGAGAGAGAGAGAGGAGGGTCTTACAAAGGCCAAAGTCATTATAATTGTGGTTGTTAGGATCGATAGATCATATCATGTACTTAGTCAATCTATTATTGTTTTAAGGTTTGTGAGAGAGAGAGAGGAGGGTCTTAAAAGGCCAAAGTCATTATAATTATCATTGTTAGGATCGACAGATCATATCATGTGCTTAATCAATCTATTATTGTTTTAGGGAATATAATTAGTATAAATTGATGTAATCATCCACGAGTACATCACCATCAAACTAGCCTTTTATAAAAATAAAAATAAAAAATAGCCTTTTGAATAACGAGGTACGGAATGTTCATAAGATTGTAGATGAAATCAAGTGGGCGTTGCTGAGCTTGCGAAGTACGTAGGGCTAAAATAATAATTTAGATGGCATCAACCATTCAAGCTTGTGCTGTAAAGGGTTCAATTAAAGAGGGAACAATGATACTCAAAGACACATGATTGTATAACCTTTATATACGATTTTTCTATTTTTTAAAGCAAGCTACATACTTCTACATGCTTTTGACGTGAAGCTAGCTAAAGAAATTAATTGACAGAAGATTATTCATTATTATATACCAGACATAATATCATCCGTGCAACGATTTAAAGGTAAAAAATATATATATATATATATATATATATATATATA